TGCGTGACATTTGACATATATTACAGTAAAATGTAGTAAACGGCCAAGCAGCAGAACGTTTTATACTAATAACCTTTGCCCAAACCTCAAATTTACATGTCTGTAGCAATAATAGTCACATGGTAATTTGAATTATGTAGATTTACACACTTTAACAAGAACGCAAAAATAAATAGTGAAAACAACTATGATTGCATATTTCAATATGCTAGCAGCCACTATTCGCTAACTGTTTTAGCAATATGCCCGCACGCAAAACACTTGCCCATTTGATCCATCTGACAAATATTTTTCCAACGGAAAACACGGTGTCCAATGGATCCATTGGATCCAATGGACAATTCGTTTGGCTATCTCAATGGCCTTGTATATCTACATGACGTCCATGTGCTTGTCATTACGTCATTGAAATACATGGTAATTCACCAACTGAAAACGCAAATGTCCGATGGAAATTCCACTTGTCCATTGGATCCAATGGACAAACAAAATCCCAATGGACATTTGCAAGGCATTGGATCCATTCGTTTGGCTATCTCAATGGCCTTGTATATCTACATAACGTCCATCTGCTTGTCATTACGTCATTGAAATACATGGTAATTCACCAACTGAAAACGCAAATGTCCGATGGAAATTCCACTTGTCCATTGGATCCAATGGACAAACAAAATTCCAATGGACATTTGCAAGTCCATTGGATCCATTGGATCCAATGGACAATTCGTTTGGCTTTCTCAATGGCCTTGTATATCTACATGACGTCCATGTGCTTGTCATTACGTCAGTGTAATACATGGTAATTCACCAATATTTAAATGCTCCAGCCGAACAGGCTCACTGGGAGAAAGGTGAGCCTGCACGGAACCATGCGTTTTATTCATTCCACCCCTTTTCGCATCTGCTAAACGCGAACCAATCAGCGTCGACTGCGATAAATAAACTGTCAACTGTCAAATTGACGCAAGGCGTGTACATTGTGCAACATGAACAATAATACAAAACATTAGCCGCACAATATATTACTCGGAAAGGCATAGAATTCAAATATTAAATAGATATCAATACACATACAAATATAAAGCCGAATAAAATACTACCATTGCCATTGGGCCATTGGCATTGAATGTACAGTAATACTTGTACTATGTGCGACTGAAAGAACAATGTTCTGAATATTTGAAGCTATTACTAAAATACGGTCAGATAGATTGGGATTTGGAATACCGAATACGTTTAAAATTTTACTAACTGTGGTCTAAATAAATGATAAATGAGCATGTATTTATTAATTTCTTCGAAATCACGAGTGTGCCAATAGTGGAAGCCGTATCGACGACGAAATTGTCAGCAGTTAATATACAGCAAATAGTACAACGTACTACGATATATATTTATCTAAATGACATGCCAGCGAGGATCAACAATATAATTATTCGTACATATTTGGGTATCTTTTGTATGCCTTCGCTTTCTGACTTGCTCACTAATGAGAATAATCCGTGAAGCCACGACGACCTCAAAATGTACTATACTATAGTCTGATTTCAATCCGAAGACGAAGTTCAGAATACTGTTATAGTTTCGTATATTGGATTTAAGCGATAGATTCAAGTCATTTATGATAGACTTTTTTGCTGTGATGCTTTGCTATTGCTTTTGGTCTCCACTTCTAGTTTTATTTGTTCGATAGTCCTATAATATATAATATTAAAATGAATAAAGTTCAAATTCTTCAAAATGCTGTTGTTGACATTTGCTATTTTTAGTAATTTTGTCAACGAGTGTAAGCCAATCAGAAGCCTGCGTTTCTATACGAACGCCACTACCAAGAAAACCTATCATCCGTGCAGGCCCTCTATTCTTCGCGCCGCCCGCAACCCAGGGCCTGTTCGCAGGCTATGGTGAAGGCTATTTCAGATACGGTAGAGCACCTGGTCCCCAGGCCTTTACCGGCGCGGCCGCGAAATTCAATATGGCGCCAAGCTAAGGAGTGGAGTTTAAATGGAGTTTATATTCTATATTTTCTATTGTTGTTTTTTTATCTTTTTATTCTTTTTGGTTGGACAGTGTAGCTCAGTTGGTAGAGCATCGATCTAGTATTAAATTCGAATGTCGCGGGTTCAACTCCCAGCCGCGGCACACAATATCTTTCTGCTCAGGCGCTGGGTATGGAAATTATGAAATACATACTGCAGAACATTTTCAACTTTTCAAGTATAATCTAATTAGCACCAACCAATAAAATTTAAACGAAGTTATCTCAGTCAATACTGTATTAAAATGCACATGTAATATACCAAAATTTAAGTTAGACAATGGACCTTTAACCTTATAACTAAAATTTTGATCTAGACAAAAATTTCATCACAGCTTGAAAGAGCATCGCAAAATTTAGTAATATTCCAAAGTTTTGTTACGAAATGTTGTAAAATGCGGATAATATAGTCTTGCGAAGTTTGATATATATATATATATATATATATATATATATATATATATATATATATATATATATATATATATATTGAGGTAAAACGAAAAACTCAGCGTGAGCTCCACCTTTGAATTTACTATATGAGTAAATTCTTAAACACGTCCGAATTTATCATTATGATAAATTCGCGGCAAATTTTGAATTTATCATAATAATAAATTCGCGGCACCTAACACTAACCCTAACCCCAACCCCGACCCTAATCACTAACCCCTAACCCTAACCCCTAACCACTAACCCCTAACCCTAATTTTTTTAACTTTTTAAATTTTTTTAACTTTTTTAAAAATCTAACTTTTTAAACTTTTCTTGCTTTCTTCTAAAAACTTTTTTAAAAACTATTTTTTTAGTGGACTTGAAAAACTCCCCACCCCTGCGCGACCAGCCTGTCTGTGACGTCACAGTCACAGTCACGTGAGGAACACGAGGAGAGACAGAGTAGTGTTTAGAGAGAGAGTATTGTAGTAAATGAGCGAGAGAATAAATCCTTAAAGTTTGATAATATAAACACTATAATTGGCGACGAGGTAAAGTAAAAGTATCGACGTTGGTTGATTTTCATACGAAATGGCTAAGGTCCTTGATTTACCGGCTATTCCACCCTTTTCTGTGTCTGAAACGAATTCGTTGGCACAACGTTGGGACAAATGGACGAACTCGCTCGATTACTACATTCGTGCTTCGGGCATCTCCGATCAAAAGCAAAGGCGGGCCATTCTACTTCATTTAGCGGGTGCAGAAGTACAAGAAATCTTCGAGACGTTGCCTGATACTGGCGAGGATTACAAAACAGCGCTCGAGAAATTGAATGCACATTTCAACCCGTGTAAAAACATAGCTTTCGAACGTCATGTTTTCAGACAAGCAACCCAACGTGCCGACGAGTCCATGGATGCTTTTGTAACTCGCTTGAGAACTCTTGCATAAACGTGCCAGTTCGATACAAGTTTAGATGAAATGATCCGTGACCAAGTCATTGAAAAGGGTGCTTCGAACGCTCTTCGGCGTCGACGCCTACTACGAGAACAAGAACTAACATTGAACAATTTATTATCGATTGCTCGTTCATTCGAACTGGCCGATCGCCAGGCCTTAGAAATCGAACAAAAGTTTGAATCATCCACTCACCTCAATTCCATGGAACGAAATAGAGATTTTCAACAACCACGGCGTAATTCTGCGAAGCGTGAAGACAATAATAGGCAAAAATGTGTTTGTTATTGTTGTGGAAACGAAGGGCACCGTGCGAAGGATGTCCAATGTCCTGCCCTTGACAAAACCTGCCGACGTTGTGGCAAGTCCGGTCATTTTGCTAGGGTCTGTCGCCAAAAGACCAACAAACCGAAGCAATATAGGGAGAATGCTCGACAGCTTGAACAGTCTGACGATGACTCTTCTGAGAACGAATGTTTATTTACTCTCACGGCTCATAATGTGCATCATCGTTCGGACAGCCTTCATATGTTGGAAATTAAACACATTCCAGTGTAAATGCTTATTGACTCGGGGGCTAGTGTTAACGTCCTTGATCTCGAGACATATCATCGTCTAAAAGCGCGAAAAGGAGTCCAGTTAATGCCTTCTACCCTTCGTGTTTACGCATACGGTTCTACGACCCCACTTAATATCCTGGGAACAGTCTCCGGTCGGGTAAAATGCAACTCTGCAGAAATCGTGGCCAAGTTCGTAGTGGTACACGACCAACACGCTGGTTGTCTTCTCGGGCGACAAACTGCC